ATATAAAGGAAGCAATAACAGCTTGATTCACAGTGATTGCATTGTTTTTGAATGCAGATTCGCCTGTTAAAAGGCACATTATGCTATGCCTTGATTTAATGATATAAGTAGAAGAGGGCAGTAAAAGTGACTTCTGTCAATGTCATTTATCTGCAGAAAGCGGATTTGTTTTGCCAAGATGTCAGCATCAAAATAATAAAATTGAATTGCACAAGGATGGCTGAATGAATGAATGAAGGCTAGTTTTGCTTGCATTGTATTGAAAGCAGGGGAATAATTGATGGCAAGTTTATATAATTTGAATAACAAATTCTGTGACAGAGACAAGGAGAAGTATTTGTAGGGGATGCAAAACTCAATTAATGGGCTTTGGTTGACGCTAACTTGAACGTAACTGCTGCCTACTTTTTCTCCTATTTTTGACAAAAAGATGTAGTCATTAGTGGCATTGGGCTCTTGTGGTGGAATAAACAAACCAACCTGGTGATGAGAGCACTTTGAGAAAAAGCATAGGTGGGAAAAACAGTGGTGGGTGCTTGCCGCCCCTGTCCTTTGCAAGAGCGGCTTGTAATGATGCAAAATCTGTCTGTTCAAGGATAAATCAACAGGAAACTGAAGAAGATTGTCACGTCTAAATTAAAAACGATAGTAATGTTGATGTCTGGCTATGGAATCTGCTCGTATTCAGGCGATAGGCATGTCATTTAAAGGGAGCTTTATTTTAAATTTAGATGGTCAGTTTTTTGAAGATTAAGTCAAACCACAAATTCTCTCTAAGTGACTATTTCTGTCATTTTTTCAATGTATTATTTCCAAAAATCATTTTTTCTAATGGTTTTACTCTAAAAATTGATAACAAACACTGCAATAACTAGCAGTAGGTTGTGCTAGTAAAGTGCAAATTCCTTGAGGATCCAGTTGCTCTTTAATTTCTTTTCTACAGATCGGTGGACGGACAAAAAGTGATATTAGTTTGAAGCAGTAATTGTTTCTTCTGTGGAATATGGATCTTAGCAAGTAAACTGGTGCAGAGTACACGAAATTTTCATTCCCTTTTCATCATCTCCATGCTGAACTGAGGAATTAAACTACCTTTTACAAGTAAGATAGAGAAAACAATGGCATTCGGACTCACAGTGGTGTTGACTTTCAGTGGTGCACATCATGTTTTCGAATGCGGATTAAAAAAAGACATTTTATGTTTAATTAAAGTGATGGCAATGAGGTTCTGTTTAAAAGTGATAATGACAGCGGCTTCTTTTGATGAAAATTACTTGGAAAGTGCGGCCTTATTTACTTAGGAATCTTCCAATAAACAATTGAATGTCAATTGTACTTGCATTGCAGATACCTTGGGTTGTGGCACAGCCGAGCAGTGTTACCGAATTTGTGGAAACCGCTACGGTTGTAGCGACTTGGCCTACCCAAAGCTGGTCATGGGCGTGATGCCTGACGGTGAGTCGCGAGCCCTTCACCTCTCCCCTTGTAGCCCAGACCACTTTTACCGGGTTGGTGTGTCTGGTTTAACTTCTTTTGCTGCTGATAGCTTTCTGGTCAGTTTATTTAAGGTATTACCCTCGTGTATCTATTCAACTATACATTTGGCAATATGCCTAGAGGGAACGAGACTAAATAATAACCAACTATCGGTGTTGGTATTATAAGCAATAAGTAGGACAGTTGTTCCTGCTGATAGATATTCGCAATTACCTATTTTTTTGATAGTAGACGAGTGGTGCAAGTAAGAAATCAGTAGTCAAGTGACGTCGCGGAAGATTCGAGGTATACGTTAGATTTAAAAATTGGTTCAGTGCGTTTAATTTGCACAAATTTTTAAGTGACTAAAAAGTTCTACTCGTCTTCGGTACACTTCGCTGTAATGAATTTTTGTAGCTTATGAAGACCTGTAAAGTGCACTCGACTATCCACATGAATTACAAAGCATAGATGTGTGACAGACAATTTTTGGCACTCCTTATTGTGCTTTGTATAAGCTTCCAATTATTTTGGAGCATTTTTGATCATAAAGAGTCTGTTGGATGTGGTTGATGTGATTGGGGCTTTTCTACCTGACGACTCGATGGTAAGACTTAAGAAGCTGGTTCTAGAGGCATGCAATGATAGATATAGTTAAGGAATTTTATTTTGTGGATAAACCGTTGAGGTCGAAGAGGAACTCAATTGTCGTCGATGTCTACCATGAGTGATGAAAAGTGGTTTTCTCCTCTACAAACTGAGAGGGGAAAGTAAGAGACGTTGCTAAGTAAACGGATTTTACTCACAAATAAATGGGTGACATAATGTGCTTGGAAGGCAATCAATTGGTATTTTTAAATACTTCTTTCAAGTGTATTCCGGAATTACTCAGCACATTTCTGATTATTTGTAAACTGACCGGCTCGTGATGAGAAATGACCTCTGTATTGCAAAACCCGTTAAGCGAACAAATATGTCATTGTTTATCTCCGAAAGATCTGGTATCCCATTACCCACACCACACCTCTAAGGCACGCACCGCTTCACCTCCATAAGATTATATGTTTGTGCGTGTGGTGGACTGCAGAAGCAAGTGTTTGTTATGAATTGTTCACTTGGTGAGGACCAAACGACACTCACGGCCGAGATATATCCATCCGATATGGTTGGATACTGCTCAAAGGTGTGCAAGACAAATTGCCTTTTTGAAAGAATCATAAATAGCGGGTCCGTAGGAAGAAAAAGTTATTACTGCATGTTACAAAGCTTATCGTAATGTGATCCAGCATTACACTTTAGGACAAGAGAAGGGGAAATTAGCACTGCCTCATCAACCTCATTTTTTCTAATTAAGCACTATCACCTTTTCATGCCGGTAGACGGAAAAAATCATGATCAAATAGGAAATAGGGTGAAAGTAACAAAAAAAATTAAAGCTAAGCTAAATTTCTTACAGAGACAAAACGTGTTGCAAAAGTGGGAAGGATTTTTATATTGTTAAAGATCACTGTTTTGGTGGATATATCATTTTAAGAGATTTTCTGTTGTATGAAAAATCGCACCGTCTCATTTACTTCATTGCAATGAGCTCAATCTGACGCCTTGACAGTGATGAATGTAAGTTTTGAATTCTGAAAATGAACTTGTACCTATCCAGCAGTTCGTCAGATCAAACGGCACCGCTTGTTTATAGAGAAAATTAGTCAGAATGTTAAATTTGCTTAACATACCACAATGAGACAGTTTCAAAAAGCATTGTACTTTAAAGGCAGGAGTGTTGAGAAACGTTGTGACAACTTCGTAGTTTTATAAGAAATGGGTGATTTCCTGATATTTAATTAGACATGATCACAAGGATACTAAAACAATGTAATATTCCCACACTTCAATAGAGTGATCCTCCTTGTGGATTATTACACTTTAATAATGCATAATACGTGAGTCCAATATGACACGAAATGCTGATGTTTTGAAGTCACTACAGAAGTCCTGGTGCCCAATAATGCCCATGCTCTTTTCTGCACCAAAATGCCACACAATTGATGGGATGCCAAGGCTGTAAAACTTATTTAACCCTTCCAACGATTCTATATGACAGTAGTTTCCACCAGTTCTTTTTGCACGGCGGTGAAGTTCCCACGTAACAGTCACAATCAAGCAATTGAAGAAACATGGTCACAAGTTATAAAGCACTAAAATTAGGGAGCCTAGAAGGCATCATCGAAGGTAATGACATTAGATGTGATTTAAAAGTGACCCTCTGATGACCTGTGAGCTACCAGACGTTGACATTCTACTGTGATTCAAAATTTTATGCCATGTCATTTTGACCATTGGCATTTTAATTCGCGTTCTGACCTTCAGTTTGTTCTGCAATGGTGGTAATACTGTCTTATGACCATGAACAGTTAAGCAGCATACTTGCGAAGAATATTTGCTTTAATATCGAATCTGATGGTCTTTAGGTCTTCGCGGACTCATGTTGGCAGTGATGTTGGCCGCCCTTATGTCCGATCTCACGTCCATCTTCAACTCCTCCAGTACCTTATTCACCGTCGATATCTATGCCTGCTTCCGACGCAAGGCTAGCAACCGAGAGCTTATGATTGTCGGACGGTAGGCGGTCTTTTCACTGCTATAAAAATTATAGGATTTTCGTACTGGTAATGGTTGCACTGAGCATACTCTGGGTACCAGTGATCCAAACCATGCAAGGAGGTCAACTTTACATCTATATTCAATCCGTTGCTGGATTCTTATCGCCACCAATCGCAGCAGTGTACGTTACGGCCCTGCTATCGAAGAGAACTAATGAGTTGGTAAGTCCCAGTTTCCATCATGTGCTTGATTATCACTTTGCTGTAATCACAGGAAAGATAGGTTATTCATTCATGCATTTATTTAGGGAGCGTTCACAGGACTCATCTATGGCTTTCTTATCGGAATCACCCGTATGATCCTGAGTTTCGTATATTCGGATCCGGTCTGCGGTGAGGAGGATACAAGGCCATGGATAGTGGCAAAAGTGCATTACATGTATTTTGCCATGTTCTCATTCTTCTCCACCGCCATCGTTATGTGCCTTGTCTCGTTGCTCTCTCCACCGCCCTCCGAGGAGCAGGTCCGCGGACTGACCTTTTGGACGCGTAACGTCAGTTCCGCTACCACTGCTGCTTCCTCCATTTCTGTCACCGACACTGACACCGTTGTGCAACACGAAATGCGACTGGGTGAGGAGATTAATTCCAACCTCCCAGAGGATGAAAAGCCTGGTGAGGTGAAGGTCAAGGAGATGGGCGATCAATTGACTGAGGATGAGGAGCGGATTGCGAAAAATGATCTGCCTTTAAAGAAGCTTATTGTTAACGAATCAGGTGAGCATTAGGGACTCTTTATGCCAACAGACGTATGATCGTCGAACAATGAATTTCTTTATCAATCATAAAGTGAGCATACAACTCAGAAATAAGACTATTGAAGCCGCTGTGCGACTATACCACTTATACTTCTAAGAGCTTTCGATAATTTGGACGTGGTCCCGCTTTCACAATGGCTATGCTAACGATCTCTGCGATTTTTTATTCCACTATTAAGGCTGAGTTAGTAAACTAAGCAGATAAATACAAACATCATAAGTCTACGTATCTTCTTTTTATGGTAAAAGTGGAATCGAGTTTCGATAAAATGAATTTCCTTCCTAACTCTCCACTCCTATACTTTGCAGAGTTTCTTTGAATGATCCAATATTTTGGGAAGCAATAATTATTAATAATCTTGTTTGCACCAAGTCAATTTATATCACAGGCTTTAAGCAGGTATCTCACGCAGATGGTTCATTTTTAGTCCTAAATCGCTCCTCGACGTAGTAATAGATATTGGCAACCCACAGCGTTGCTCCACCTTTCCCTACGTTACTGCTCAAAATCGTGAAACTGGTTACAGTAGTATGATGATGGTATCAATTTCCGAAATTCACACACAAGAGTCCCAGCGATTCGGAGTCTGTTTTTAAGTCAGAGTTTAGAGAGTACAAAGTGGCTAGTTTAAATTTTTAAAAAAAGAATCTTGTATTATTTTTCAAACAAGGTGATAAGTAGAGACTAGGTCGTACGTATCCAAACTGGTGAAAACGCAGAGGTGTTTACAACAGCAAACAAAAAGTGATTCGGTGTGTGAAAGATGTGACGGCCATTTTTAAGCATATCGGACGAGGTCCGAAATTCAACTTCTCTTGTTTAAGCAAGGGGGGAAATGTGATTAAGTGAGCTTTGTCTTAGTCCTTGTTCATTAGCCAATCATCGCTAGACCTACTGTGTTTACAATGTGCGCCGCACAATCCCACCTCCCGTGTAGTTTGTTTTTTTTTGCCTTATCTCTCTCCTTTGTCGTGTTTTAGGCCTCACCTACTGCTACTAATCCCTGCGCGGTTTAGTCACCTCCAATGTAGATTGTTTTGCCTTCATTGCTCCAATCTGTCTCAACTCAAATTTTGCGCGTGACTTATACATTTCCCAAATTTTAATTGCTCTTGAAAAGGCGAGCATTTCACCTGTATCATCAAAGCTGCGTGTGTGTGTGTGTGTGTGTGTGTGTGCGTGTATGCTTCATCCAACATCGACGGTGCTTCACAAGGTGCCTGCAACTACTACAAAGTAAACCAATTAACTTGTGCGGAGGGTGCCTCAACTTTTTTTTCCTATTCGATGGATGATCAGCACTAAAGCCTGGACTTCATAAGCCTCTCCAAGAGGGACAAACAAACTTGCTGCAAAATTTCACTTTCATAACACGTTTGGTTTCTTAAGGAAAACAACCGAAACTAGTTACAGCTAACACCGTTTCTATTTCGTCTTCATTTTGCAACTTTATATTCCATTTCACACACGCTCACACGTTCATCAATGGCTACTAAAAGGTGATTTTCATCACTTTGAGGAATATGCGTGAGGAATGGAGGCTGCGAATGAGTTAGTATTCCCTTCCCCCCGCTCTCTCTTCCCATGTATCTATTCTGACGAAAAGCCAACTCTGTCCAGTGAACAGAATCCCCAAATCAAATGACGTTTATGATAATGTTGGTGTGAAATAATAGAAAGGCATCCAAGCATCGCGTGGACTTCGCAGCGAGTCATTCCAGCCGACCGTACCCTAAAAGGGTGCAACTGTTTTGGTTTTTGGCCTTCAAAATATTTGGTGAATTTTGGAAATCCTAAAAACATGAGTTAAATTAGTACAATCTCTTGTTTTCCTCATTAAATTTTCACATAATTCAAATGCTCTTTAGTTAATCTATTATGCGAATTTGAATGGAAAATTAGATCCGAATACTTTAACTATTTGTTAATGTAAAAAAATGAAATATAGATCAACGATTGATTAATTAACATTTAACTCAAATCTTCATATACTCTCACTTTACATAAGAGACTGGCGTCTTTTTCCCTCTTATTCATTCATTAATGTGATTTCTAACTAAAGTGGAGATGGAGAGGGCATTTTTTGGGGAAGAAAGCCCTTTAATTAACATTCTCGTAAAAGGTGTTTAACTTGAAAAAAGCAGAACCTATGGAAAACAAATGGGCAAATCCCATTCGTTTCTTCATGGAAACATTTACTCGTCTCACTTAGGGTAAATACAACAACTGTTTAATTTAAGCCTCTCGTGTAAATAAAAACAGTATCTTCGCTTCTCTCCTAGTTTCAGAAGCACATACTTTTTTGTATTTGTATGTGGTATCATAAACACACTTGATTATGCTTAATACACTTTCTGTCCTACGGTTAAGCAACTATGCGAAGAAACATACGTATTTCGTGTTTTTTTTTAATAGTCCTTGCTCACAAGCCTTGATAACTGGCACTTGAATAGGGAAGCTTACTTTTGCCACTGCACAAACCAGTTTTTCTCACATTATTTTTACCATTGGTAAGAGAGGAGAAAGTAGGAGACCATGGGGAAGTGTTTTTTTTGGGCAGCACCACACACAGGTAGCAGCGGTCACATTTTGGAGTTTACTTCTTCCTAGAAAACAAATCCGATGGACTCGGTGATATGGACGAAAGGGACGAGGAGGTTATGACCAAAGTAGGCAGTAATTCTTGCAATCAATGCCTCCACATCTCCGGCCACTTTTGCAAATGGTTCTGGGGCTTTGCCGACGATCCCCGCCCGGAGGATGTTCAGTGGTGCTGTAGTTGTATCCGCAAACGAGCTCCATCAACTCAACCCGGAGTTGGGGACTCCGAGCCCCTTCAATTTGTCCCCGTGAGCCTGAAACAGAAACGCAGCACCAAAATCGGTCTCTTCGTGGGTCTGGTGATGATTGTCACCATAACTGTCTTTCTCTTCTGCTTCTTCTCCCTCTACTTTGGTCCGATTACACGCGGACCACTGAGAATTACCGGTAATACGTCCTCGCCGGAAACGCTTAATGCAATTGAAGAGCTGAGGCGCTATGGAATGATTGCAAAATAATTTCCACTTAAATAGTTCTTTCTCACTCCCTGCTCATGCGTTGTTATTACCACTGATTTGGTCTCCTCCCCCTCCCCCCCCCTCCATTTTATCATGTTTTTACCTTTGAATACATTACAAATAAGCATGTTGCATTGTGGGACCATGTTGTATTCATTTATGAACTATTATATTAAAAATACCATCTTAATGCGTGCAAAGATACGACTGTTTTGCGCGGTGCAGTTAATCTTATTGTGGTATTTTGCGATGCAACATTAACGTCTTGAAAGGCGGCAGTGTTTGCTTTGTCCCGTCAGATTCCTGATTAGCTGTAAGGCTTGGGTTCCTTTCATCGGATGGCGGCGAACAATCACAGGAGGCGATCTTGGCGATTGAGACAGGTAAGTTATGTACAAATGCTTGAGTTTCGTGCTGCTCACTTTGCTCATTCGAGTTAATGCAGCGCAGAAGCCTTTTTACGGGAAGTTAGTCGTGAATGGGAAGGGCAAATATCTGATCTCCTTTTTTCGGCAATTGGGATACGAATTTGCGTGCTGGAGGATGAGGAATTACATACGTTTACAATCTGAGCGAATTATTTAAACAAAAGTCCCAATTAGTCTAAGATAATTGATGAAAAACAGAGTGGAGCTCGACTTGATTTGGGCACTTAAGTGTAAGTAGTTTTGTTGAATTAATTTGGCCTTTGTCAGTGCGGGGCTCTCGGTGACACTAGTATTTATTTCTATTAACCCCATTGGCGTGACATAGGTGCACGTCAGTTCTTGTAAGCAGAGACGGGTTCAGAGATGGCGAAGGTCTAGGTTTTTAGTTTCGAAATAATATGGTTTAGGGTTGTCTTCAGGATCGATTTTGTCCATAGATTTGGAATAAGCCCTTTCGTCTAGCGAAAATATCCACATAGGGGTGTAAATGACAAGTAACTGGCTGAAAACTTTGCAAATGGCGTGCCAATTTAGGGCAGTTTTTGCATGGAATGGGAATGAAGAAGCCACACAGGCAGATGATGGTGTCATTTGTACCCAAGTGTGTTAAGGATATACGGTTTGAAGAGCCAAAGCTTAATCTTATTTTTACTACAAGCACGTCTGAGTCTTGGTAGAGAAGAATGGTAAATTATCACTTCCATTGGTAGGCCTGCATAGATTTCGCAATTAAGTAAGCGTTGAAGGTGAGGTTATTATGGATCATTGCAAAAATATTCAGGATTCGGTCAATTCTGCAGTAAAAGTAGGCAGCAGAGAACGTAAAAATCGTATGATTAAAAGATTAGTAGCATTGGTGACTGTTGCGAAGATAGAGATGTAAATGTAGAGCGAGACTCAGCGGTCGCCTCTACCCTGTTCCTAATGTTCCTGTAGCGTCCCGAGACTCCCTGAAGACGAAAGAAGACACAATACTCGGGCAGAATATATATATTCAGCACGGAGAAGGTGTCTGGGCTATTGGCATGGCCCAAAAGGCCAGCCCACTTAGCAAGGTACAAGGGGGCTAATTCAAGGTACAAAAGTGGCGCCTCACCAGAACCGAGGTATAAACCACTGTCGTATTACATTCCTAGAACAGCCCGGTTGATTTGGTTTTGACATCTTTATTAAGGGGGAAAGATCGGGAGGAATGGTACAATGTTTAGGGAGGGGAAGAACAGCAATCACAACTAGGCACGGAAGACGACTCTCTCTCACCTGATCCGATTTTCCAGATTGCCTCCTCTCTGAAAGGTACATTAAAACAGTACAAGTATTACATAAGTACACTTACATCGGTGAAACATGAATTTTACAGTGCAACTTAGGAATTTCACTACGAGCATACCTTCAATGTTAAGACGTTATTTTACTGTAATCTTCTTGGTTCTAGAAGTGTTTGTTTGTTTTTTGGTAATTTGTTGCTAAACGTATGAACAGTAATCAGTTGACTACATAAAGTTAAAACGGAATAGATCAGTTGTTGATTAACCATGGATCAGTTAGTATCTTTTTACCTGTGCGCAGTAAGAAGTGCTCATAATTTGGTTTGTTGTTCTCAGCACAAGATTTTTAAATTCTTCAAACATTTATCTAATTACTAAGCATATGGAATGATAAGTTCGCTGTCTGATTAATTGTTTTAAGATGCAACACACATTTCTGATAAAGGGACATTTAAAGGCACCTCTAAGCTGTTTGTTTAAACACCAAAATAAATTTAACATCATCGTTTATTTTTACTTCAGGTCAGAGCGGGGTATTCCATGTGGTGTTTGCTTCACGCGTGCTAAGTGTGTCGGGATGATTCGTGCGGTTTTGATCTTTAACAACAGTGGTAAACCCCGCTTGATGAAATTTTACGATAATATGGTAAGTCCATTACTGTCCGTATATTGTTCCTGTCGTTGGCTTGTTAACTTGTAACGAATTCTGTCTTGCTTCCATTTCCGTGTTTCATGAGTATGCGGAAAGTAAATCTTATTCTACCTCCTTTTGTTGCTTTATCTTTTAAAGCCTAAATCACCACTTTGCATCGTTCACCTGCCTTCGTGGTCCTCTTAAAGTTATTTGCACATCTATGAAGAAATTCATTTGATGCTTGATTGAACATCCCTCTTCCCTCGGAAATAAGTCGATTCCTTGTCCATGAATGTTTCTTAATTAGCCTATACACTTATTCCTATTTCAGCAATGTGTTTGTCATTTACTGTCCAAAGCATTTTATCAACGTATTTGTTATTTAATATCCAAACGTGGGCTTTAAGCACCTTAATCACTTGGTTTTCTCCATTTAATATGACTCCTAGTCTGAAGAACTACAGCAAAAACTCCTTAATGAAATCTTCTTCTTGGTATCCAGACGTGATGACAATGTGTGTAATTTCCTTGAAGGTGGAAGGTAAATCAAACACCGTACTTTACAAGTCCTTTAGCAATGTCTTCTCTGAACATGATTGCCGTATTATTTATCGACACTATGCAACGCTCTACTTCGTTTTTTGCGTCGACGCGACAGAAAGTGAATTAGGCATTCTTGATCTAATCCAAGTTTTTGTTGAAGCGTTGGACAAGTCCTTCGAAAGTGTTTGCGAACTTGATCTAATTTTCCACTCCGATAAAGTAATTGATATGCGGTTACTTAAAAAAAACTCGACTTGAAATTTCTAAACGCCTAAGTGCTGCTTTGGTTTTGATCCTTTCAGGTTCATTTCCTCCTCAATGAGCTAATTATTGGCGGTATGGTCTTAGAAACACATATCAGTGAAATTATTTATCATAATGAAGAACAAAATAAACTGGAAAAACAGGAGGTAATCAGAAACCCAAAAGTGTGCTAGCTCATTTCCCTTTACGTGATTGGTTACGTAGACCATCTATATAACTATCACACAATAAATACTTATTTGATCTAAACTGAATATCAAAATAATGTTTTCTACTGCAAATGATTTTCTTATCTGTTTAGCAATCCACTCTCCCACTTGCTCCATCACGTGCCGTGTCTGCCGTGAAGGATCTGAAGATAGCCCAGAAGCTGAAGGACATCAAGCTCCCTGAAATCCCTTACCTGAATTCACGCTTCCACCTCGACTAAAGGGTGGAGGAGGCATAGGAATGTGGTGGCTGCAATGGCTCAGCAACTTGTGATTCCACTTTGACCCTTTCACTTTTTTGATTTGTGTGTGTAAATATTCCTTTGAGGTTATTTTTGGTATAGGGCTTCCACTCTCTTTTCTCACTAATGTTTTTTTTTCTCCAGATACACATAAGCATGCTTCCTTTTCGGGTCGGGTTGAGCAGAGCGATGCATTTTATGCGAGGTCCCAGTACTTCACTGACTGGCTAAGATGAAGTTCAAAACATTGCAGATGACTAGCGTGTGTTTGGCTGGTAGATTGTTTATCATCTTTGACGCATTCCCTGCCTAGTTCATGGTTGATTTTTCTAGTTGTGTCACCCTCATAAGAGTATTGTAGCAGAGTCGAAACCTGTCTGAGTGTCAATGAAAGGTCTGACTAATGAATCGACGTGTAGACTGTTGCCCAATTCCAGAAATGCGTATCCATATTCGAAAACTGGTTTCGGAAGTGATTGGGTAGTACTGCATGGAAGCATTTTTAACTTTGCGTGAATTAGTTCCAACAACTAAAGCCTGGTGAAGTCTCTACCTCAGCAACGGTGGAAAATATGGGATGGATTGATGGGGAAAGGGAGCAAGAAGAGTGGTTAGACTGCGGTGCAACTTAAACTGGTCAAAATTATGGCAAAAATCGCTCTGGACACGATGGAACCTACCCATGCAGAAATTGAACAAATTCCGTGTTGAGGACCATACAGTCACAGCTCTCTGTGCACTAGCAAAACATTTAAAAAAGAAACATACATACCTATTCCTGTTCTCACAAGCAATGTCTCATACCGCAAAGCCTCTGGTGACACTTCACCGGGTGTCAAATAATCGCCTTTTGGCATCAGCCAGACAATCAATCACATGAACACGTGAAATAGAATACAAAGTTGGGAAATGGAAGTGGTGGTGGTTGTGGATAGGTTTGTTTTTTTTTTTTTGCTTATTTCCAGAAGCAAAACGTTACATATGCAAATGTGCATCAGCATGGATTCATCTAGTGTTTCTAAACTACTCGCCACCTTAATTAAGCATCCTGTATCACCAGATTTCTCTCCGTCTTTGCGACTTCCAATTACGCTCGCTGATAAGACATGGTGGTTAGCATTTGCGAAGTTATTGTAAAATACGGCGATTGGTGCTTAGAACTTCAGTGAGAAATAAGCAGAAGGACGAGTATTTTGAAACACTGTGGTGAATCTGTATTTGGTGGCAGAGTGGAGTAGGGAAGGACCCGTAAGATGAAACAAACCACCTAAACCTAGGTGAGTTCCACCGACTCACTGAAACAGAACGCAACAATTTTGAGGACCTTTTATGACGATTGAATGAGGGGCCGCCTGGAGACGCGGTATAAATTCCGAATCAAATTTGCCTGTCACTCTCTTTGTAGGAAATTGTAGAAAGCATTCAGTAATGCGTTAGTAAGATTTACACGCAAGATAAGTATTAAAGGCATGTGAACAAACTGAAAAGCTTATCAATCCCGTTACTCATTATTTACCGCCTTGACTTATTCTATTCGATAGTAAATAAATCAAGTTTATGCCAGATAAAAAACTGCAGCACATATTTTAATGGTGGATTTTATCCATAGCAATTATCACATCTTAACAGAAGGATGATCTTAATTGTAAAGACAACAACCTGCCCTCCTCCACTTAACGACTTGATGCCATGACCTCAAGGTCCTACCTGCGGCCTACTGGCCCTTCACGGGCACACTCAAGTCCTCCACTGTGTCCATTTACTTACATCAGTAGTATATTTAATGAAAGTATAGCCACAATGAAAGATTTATTTTAATTACCAGACAACAAACACAATCATTTTGCATCGAGAGAAGATGACGGTAAAAGCATGACACTGTTACTACTCCAACCAATAATGGTGATAATAATGATGATGAAGAAGTAAGGTGAGGGGAAGTTCAAGAAGTTCTACTTGGATACATTCTCGTACCTTATTTGGCCATTTGCCGGTTTGTTTTGATAACTACCCATTAATTTGTCAGCAATTTCACAGATGACATTATAGGCAAAGCTGCAGGTTTCCTCATCCGTGAAGAGGTACACAATGGCTATCCGAATGAAAAATATCTCCTTCATGTCTGGGCCCGTGATTTTGGATGTTACCAGATGAATGCGGCCATCCTCCTCAATCATCTTGTATAGTTCTTTTGTCATCTCATTGTTATTCTAAGACTTCGTAACAAATGAAAATGCAACATACCTTAATACGGAAGCAGACGAGACCGAGTACAACACCACAAATAATTTCAAATCGGGGATCCGTTCTGATAAGTGACTCCAAATACTTAGCCATTCGAATGTGCTGCAAAAAAAGATGAGAAATAAATGAATATATGTGGTTATTTACCTGACGGATGTAACCTTGCAATCCGCCTACACCGAATTTTCGAATCACGAACCAGAGTTTGATTGATCGAAATTTGCGTCCAAATGATAATTGCCAATTCTGGAAGGCAGAAAAGGAAAAATAAATAATAAAATAAGGAGGGCAGGTTGGCTTACGTCTAATCTTTGCATAGTTTACATCTTGTTATGTTTAATTTCTTTGAATTACCGAATTTGCGATTAAGTCCTCTTCCTCAGTATGAGTTTATTTCCAAAAAACACAAATAAAAATACAATGAAGTTTAATTGGCAGATATTCACAGGAATTGTATGAATAAGTGGAACCTCTCAAAAAAGACCGCTGGAAGTCCAATTTCGCCTTTCGTCTTCCTCATTATCGGTAATAACTCGGAATTTGGATGCACTACTCGTTCCAAACAAAATTAGGGCATTCCATTTGTAAATTTATAATAATTAGTTATGAAGTTACTCAAACAGAAAGACAAAGTGCTCGCCTACCCGATAGTCGGGCATCTTGCCTACTTCATCGTATTTCAGGTATTGAGCATCGGTACTGAATGTACTTGCCACACTCTTGACGTCCCTATACCTAAGGTCATGAAAACAATCAAATTAAGTGCGCCTAGAGAGTTCAATTATTTTACCTTTTACAAATTCAGGTAGATGTTTGTTTATATAATCACAATTTGGCTGACTTTTCAGTAGTTTTTGCCAAGTTAATCGCTCTCCATAACGAGAGAGAATCCTCCATAGCACGATGTACCTCTCTCTAAGTACTTTATCAGCAAAATTAAACTGTCTGTTGAAGCCATTTACAAATATTATCCTCCCCAGGTGTATACTTCACATTTTCTGGGTGCTAAATGACAGGCACGACGAGACTGCAGCTCCTATATCCATAAAACCGAGGCTGGCTCGGTTCGTCAGGTGGATAGACCCCAATCTCATCCATTAGGATTTCTTCAATGTTAACCACAACATTGTGAAGAGACTATCTTACCACACGACGGAACAATCAAAGTTGGTTAGGAGCCACTTGTGAGGATTGAATGCGAAGGAAGATGTATACTAGAAAAGCAAGAAATGTATACACTGATACCTGAAATTATCAATAAGACTTCGTGATCGCATAGCGAAATTAAAAGTCGCATTTTGGTTAACTCTCCTACCTCAACTCCTCGAAGATAACGTCGAAGTTCCGGACAAATGAAAGCAGATCCCGCGTACGCGGCGTCTACGTGAAGCCACAGGCCATATTTCTTGCAGATTGGGCCAATCTCTTCCAACCGATCAAAACTGCAACAGCTTGTTGTTCCCAATGTGGCAGCACACTAAAAGAAGACAGATGGTAAATAAAAGTAGGTGTTCACTCAAAATTACTGTAAAAAGATAGGCTTTTGTTGCGGGGACTGAAGCGTAAAATTAATAGCGTGATGTCCTTTAAATGATCCATTTCAACTTCCAGTTGGATTACAGACAATTTGAAACCCTATAAAAGGAGGAAAAGTGAATTTCACATCGGTAAATAGCACAAGAAGTTGTATTCCTGCAAAATATGGCCTATTTAATCTCAAACGAATAGAAACACAAGAGACTTAAGATGAAACGTATGGGTACGGGCGGAAACCACTCAAGAACAAGAAGTACTACCTAGTTACGTTAATATTCTCATAGCTTTCAAAACAATTTAGAATATAAAATGGACAGAATAGATATCATAGGCTAAATAGCTAAACAAAAGACTTGGGGGGCTAGTTCCATGTAGATGAGGTTCCCTTCAATCATTAGATTACAAAAAGCAGTCAAAAAGTGTGCTTCAAAAAAGCGAAAGGTCAGGTGTTATTTGTAATTACAAAATTACCCATTTTTGCACTTCAGAAGGACTGAGGGCTCCCAACTGATACTACAGAGTGGACTAGAGAATTCCAAACCCTCATGGATACAGGGCCATTAGCTTGTTTTAGCGAAGGCGTAATGTAATACTTGTTGTTTCAATGTTCCTTTCAGAGAGGAAGCAGGGCTACGAATCGAATCTCGTGGCGGTAGGGTCGACGTCTTGAAAGCCGGAGAGTGGTTACATGTCCACACCTCTCTAAACTCTGTACTATTTTTCCCATTTACTTGCCCTAATAAACATGTCAAAATCAAACCAACCTGGGTGTTCCAAGAGTATGAGGAACAGGGAAGAGGAGACCTACAAGCCTCGTTCTACAGTAATTCTTTTTAACCTGGCGCAACATCAAGATCAGCATTTGCAAAGTAGCTTCTTTTCCCAAAATGCGTAATCGCGTGAAGATTTTAATGGAGCACTCTAATCCCCCTTTAATGAGGCACGCTGTGACAAGGGGGCACATCGAGCTTAACTGAGAAAGCGATAGTATCTTCATTGCAAAATAATAATCAATCTTATTTGCCTAATAGTTTCTGTCTGAGAGACCTACACACACACGCACACTAGATGGTGTTAGGAGGAACTCGTCAATGCCACTTTCCTTAATGTCCGATTTCCGGGCTCGTGTTAAAGTAGATGAAAGACATACGTAGAAAGGGACTTTTCCCATGGCGATATCTTCCACAATGGCTGATTCAAGTGTTTCTCCTGTGAGCTGGAACTTCTCGTTCACTGGAAGGCTCCGAAAAGGGAGAAGATTCAGGAGACCTGCTCTTTCAATGGAACAGTGCGCCTTGAATGGGAAGACTAAGCAATTACTTACTAGCGAGAGTGTAAATTAACGCATTCACTGGCTACATAATAAATTAATAAAAGAAGAATAATAGTTAGAATCATGACCATTTCTACGTTGACGATAAAACAACTCTCTACAGCCTCATACACTTGATAACTTATTCTAAGGCAACTTGAACGTTGTGCACGTGAATGGAGAAGGTCATTGCACTTGCCAGAACCGATCCGTAACAAACAAGTTTCGACATAGCCTTGTAATTTGTGGCTCCCGGATGATCCGCAATGTACTTTTCAATCGCCTTGTTACGAGCTGCCATCATTGTCACAACGGCCTGCTCACTACAGGTGGTCTAATGTGAAAAAAAGTAGGAAAAATGGCAGAACTTATGGACACTACTAAAATAAAAGAAGCTCGGCAACTACTTACTACAATGTACTTTAAAGATACGGTTAGATACCATTAGATTAGCAAAGAAATGGGCGCGGTTTTGGCATAGAACGTTACAATTGTTAAATGCATGTGATTGTTTACATGCATCAGTCTACCGGCTTGATGGGCTTTAGCGCGCTCGCCTAGACCAACTTCCTTTCATTTAGAACCTCCATAGCAGAAAGTAGTGGTTGAGCCCAAAGGAAGCGATTTGAGCTTCATTGTTTAATAAAATGAGTTAAACTGACAACCAAAAATGAAAAAAATTAGCTGCTCGTACCGTTGTTGCATATCGCTAGGAGGAGATGGGGTATGCGACGGCAGACGCATTACGATGAGGAAAACCCCACTTCCTCAATTGTGAAGAATTATTGCTTAAGATACTTGATGGAGAGCAACTTTCAGTAATATTCAACACTGAGAGTGATGGAAGAATTCATTTACGTTTGCAGAAACTGGGAAGGTGAAATCGTGAAAGCTAGTAGGCAACTGGGTAATTACACACCATGCAGTGGATTACATGCCGACAGACGGATTGACTGACTGAGTGACAGACTTGGGATGCGAAATGGCTTTTGTGTCTTGGCACCTTCGTTAAACAAACGCACACATCTTCAACTCACACTTCGATTCTATTAGGTAAGAGTGAGAATGTGAGCGAAGCAAACTTCACCTGCCAAACCGCCATGTCAAG